ATTTGTGACTTTAAATCTCTCATGAATTTCCAGAGATTATTGCTATCGATATCAAAATACATAGCATATCCTCTGAAATGTATTTTTTTCAGATATTTGCTGATTCCTGTAAAAATGTTCAGCAATATTTTGCAAATAAAGTACACACGAAGATAAAATAATTTACCATAACTGCCCAAGACAGAAACTAATCTGGATCTACACAGTTCGTAAATTAATTTTTGTTTTGAAGATTTCTTGCCGTAGAATATTGTCTATTTAATAAGCGTAAAATTAAGATATCAAGGAGTTTTCTGTATACAATTACAATGTACCTGCATTTCTTATATACAATGTGAATAAAAAGTGAGCACCTATAACAATACTTTACCTGAGCAACAAAGACATCTAGGAGCCTTATGCATGTGTGGAAGGTTTCCAAAAATGTCTATTTACTAGTATTTTCCTCTACAAGGACTTGTTTCATTACCCATAGCTTATTTTCAGAATAAATCTAATGAATGAATGTTGGTTTTGGAACAAAGTGTCATATATGTGGAAAAATATATTTTTCATGAAATTTGAAGGTTACAGTATATAGTGCTATGACTTTAGTATAGTATTAAGCTTGCTTTAAGAAGGACCATTTTGCAATTAACTTATTCACCCCTGAAGACACTATTTAACTCTTCCAATTCAAAGGTTGGAATAGTTCATCATGAAATTTCAGGGGTGAATTAGTTAATTTATCAGCAACATCCATTGAAACTTTCAAATAATACTAGTTATGCAACATTGATGAATAATGATATAATTGTAATTGTGATTGACACGCATTGAGTTGACTGCTAAACAATGCATAAATAATGACACGTTATTAAAATACAACTAGAAAAAACTTGTGATTTTTTTTTAGTTGAGGCTCCTTAATTTTAAGAATATTGTAATAAATTCATACAGTCAGTCTACTTCCTCTACCGTTTTGCCAGTAAATCAGCTGCTTGTGTGATATGTTATAGCTTTTTTTGTAAATTTTGGAGGTTTCTTTTCTTTCAAAAGTTTCCCCATTTTCTTTTCTTTTGTTTTTGTAAAGACATCATAAGCATTCACTGCATCTTGCTTAATTTATCTTGTTTTGACTTCTTAACTCATTCAACCCTGAAATTTCATAATGAACCATTCCAACCTTTGAATTGGAAGAGTTCAAATGTTTTTTCAGGGGTGAATGAGTTAATGTACGTCTACATAAATCAACATATTCCTGCTTCCTCATTAAGGATACCTGTCCCAATGCATACTGGTGTCTTGTGACCTCCTGTTAATGTCAGTATAGATACAACTGCAGCAGTCTGGCAAAGAAACTTCCGTTCGCCAGATAGCTCAGTCAGGTATACGTAGAGAGACAGTACAACAGGTATAAAAATCTGGGGTCCTGGGTTCGAGTTTCGAGTCTAGCAACCACTGAACTTTTAAAACTTACATCACTGTTCCATCACTGTTATTGACCATATTTTGTTAATGTCACCTCTAGTATTTTTCACAAAAGATCAACAAGGCGTGGTTTTCTTAAGAGAAATGGATTTATCAAAGCTTACCGTCATGCCGGAAACAAGTTTCCCACACAGTTTTTAGCAGTGGTACAGGGATCCTTAAATGCAAATGTATTGTTTTAATGCATGTCTGGACTTAAGGTTTTTATGCTTAAACCATTTCACCCCTATGTAACTTTAGTAGACTCGGCCATGCATTGATCTAGAAGAGTTCATTATGGTCTATAGTGATAAAAGGGTAAACGAAGATTTCAAAATTGTATATTTTTACTAAGCTTAAAAAGAACTATGACTATAATATAAATGGTGTGTTTTTTTCTCACTATACAATTTTACTGCATTTCATGATGCCACACCTTATTTTAATTTTGAAACAAATGGCTGCAGTGTTTGAGAAAAAACAAATATATGAAATGCCAAAATATTAGGAAACTAACAAAATTGTCCCTATTGAGATACAACACTGAAAAGCAGAGACTTAATTTACTTCCTTTTCAGAAATTAAAATAAAATTGCAATAGAAAAAATCAATTGAAAAAATTGTTTTATGAAATTATACATGAAATTCAAACATGTGCAAAGTGGAAATATGCGTGTCCTATCTCCCCTTTATAGTGTTAAACATCTCCACTAAAACACTTTTTAGAATGTCGGACAAAACACAGAAGAAATATAAAAATCCTATTGCCAAAATAAGAGATACACAAAATAAGGTACATATATATAAAAATGTATTTCACGAGTAAAAAACAACCTTTTAGTTATCTTGTTCAGACAGTAAAGTCAACTATCGTTACTATAGACTTTAAATTGGTATGAATAAGCTGACAATATGGACTAGTAAAGTTTGTGTTGTAATGGTGTACGCTTACTTAATCATGTTAATTATTTGCCAGGGGAGTTAACCCTGGGACCAGTTCTAATCAAAATATTATTGTTCTAAATATATGTGAAATGATTTGTTGCGATAGTAGCTAGCTGCCATATGATATTGTCTTTTGCGTGGCTCTTTTTACTAAATATGTTCCTGTTATAATTATGTTCTTGATGATGATATTAATAAAATTTCAACATACACAGTTTTTGTATATTGCCTGTGTTTTGTTTTTATATTCATTAGCCCAGGTGATGATCATCAGATAGTGGGTTATTCTGGTCGCCTTTTGTCAGTCTTCTGCTTAACGTACTTCTGTCATCAATCTTGAAATATTCTTGTAATGAAAACTTCTCAAAACATACTGAAAGGGACTTTTTTCAGAGTTCTTGTTTTCATGTAGGTTCCACTTGGTCCTTAGTTGTGAACAAGATGGTTGCCAGGTGGCCATTTTGGATTTTACAGGACTTGTAAAGTCTTTTATTAGCATTTCTCAGAACATTCCGAACTCCTCAGGTGGGGCCCTATCCTTGCACACTTATAACCTCTGACGTGAGCAGCTGCTTGTCATTGCATATCATGTGATAGACTTATTTTAGCCCTCAGAAAGTGAAGCGAACATTTTAAGCATGTATAGGAAATTGTTTATGAAAAATAACAGTACATGTACTTACAGAAAAATAACAGTACTTACAGAAAAATAACAGTACTTACGGAAAAATAACAGTACTTACGGAAAAATAACAGTACGGAAAAATAACAGTACTTACGGAAAAAAATTAACTACTTACGGAAAAAGAAGCAGGATGTGGCTTTATGATTGGTATGTAACATATATGATCAGCTATGTATAATAAATGAGTAAATAGTATTTCGATTTAATTAAATGTATCGATTTTGTGCATATTCCTTTAACGATCACAGTCGAAGTTATGATTGAGCGTAGCAGAGTCACCAGAGGTATGCCGATTGTTTTTCTGAAAGTGCTGAAGGGATTTAGCCCAAATGTGATATGTAGCTACTCCTTAGTCTGTAGTTGTGCATGTCGAAGTTTGAGACAGAGCTGAATAACAAGATGGCTGCCTCGGGCTGCTCAGCTACATGATGGTACAATTTGATCTAAGAGACAGTTGTTACACATTATTCCGAGAGGATTATCCTTATGCCAAGTTGAACATTTGTCCGTGAATTGTAAGTAGCAGTAACGCCCAGGCCGGGGTTTGAACCCGGGACCCTCCGAACACTAGACCAACGCTCTACCAATTCAGCTATCTGGTCGCCGACGAACGGCCCAGTCCAGTTCCGCTACAAAGTTATCTTGGGTGATCATTATGATGATGTCATTGAAAATTGTGACAGCATATATATATATATATATATATAATCATGACATCACAGGCATCTGGCCATTATTGGCTGTTTCATTTCGTAGTACCCCGCTAGTTCCGGGGGAGTTGGGGGCCATACCTTGCCTTGTTGAAAATCAACCTTAAATTTGGAGATAAATTTATGGTCAAAATCAATGAAAAACGGAAATAATTTTTGAACTGCCTTCTTCTTAGTTGTATCATTTCTGAAAAGGATTGCAGACAAACATTCATAGCACTAGTTAAGCACATTATTCTGCAATCCTGTTCAGACTAAGGGCTATAACTCTGAAAAAATGCATTGTATTCATGTGACCATTTTAGATTTCCAATAAAACGACACTTGATTGTGTAGGACAATGTCTAGTTACAACTGAACTGACATCTGTTGGCCAACTAGAGGTCAGGGTGGCTAAATAGATTCCAAAGTTTCTCATTTTTTTTTTTTAAATATCAGCATGACGAAGGGTTCGTACTGGCCTTGATAAGGCCTTAAAAACAAGAGTTGGCATTAAAAGCACAAAAACTAAGGAAAATTTCCTTAATGCTCCTACATATTCTTTGAAAGGTCAACATGATTGAGCCTTGAATTTGACTACATGATCCTTTAACTAAGGTTGTATATACATTTTTATGGTTTGTGGTGTTATTCTCTTTAGGATAAAGAATCGCTTTTTACAAGTTAATTTCCAGATTTTTCTTATACTGACCGGTTTAGATTTTAGTCTTGTTTGGTGATGTATGGCGAGTCTAAGAGGCATCCAGGGCCTGTATTCATAAATCTATTATCATGCTCAAACTCAGATTCTGTACTCAAGTGCAATTTCTTGTTTGGGTGATTAATTAATAAAAGAATTGCATATTTTGAGAATTTGGGAGAGTCTTGAACTCACAATTTATTTCAAATGTAATAAACACTTGTCTATCTGACCATTTCACATGATTTAAGCAAGTTACAAGAGAGTTGGCTTGAGCACAAAATCCATGCTTGAGCATGAGAACGGTTTCATGAATTTCAAACATTTGCATACGGCAGAATATTTTTGGGTCTTTAAAAGGCCCTAATAAAATTAATTTCATGGTAAAATTCCTGCATGAATCCTTTGATGGAATTTGAGAGAAGTTCAAAATGTGCAGACGTTGTTGACATGTGTCATGTTTTAAGCGCATGGGTTCTTTTGGCCAGGTAAGAAATTACATTTTGTGTAATCATGACTACAAAAAAACATATTGGTTAAATATAAAATTTATTTGTATAAAATATTGTATATGTATGCACTGTTTATCAAATTTGTTGTGAAAAAATTCCAATTCAAACATGCAATGTATCTTTCAAGCAACACAATATCCAGTTAAGTAAGTCCTTGTTTCCATAGCTACCAACAGTTCCCTTTAACTTATGTATCAGTACTTCAAGATCATCTATCCAGAACCTCTGACCAATGAAAATATCTCTTACATTTGCGAGGATATTCACCATCTGATCATTGTGATTTGTATCAAGGTATGTGAAATCAACTTGAGTTATCTTCCCTTTGTTTATTTCTGTTGCTATGGAAACGGTAAACTCTGTTCTACCTAGAACTGTACTGTAGTTCTTTTTTAACCAGAATTTTGGTGTTTTTCCGTAAACCCAATCCCAGTTCTCCAGATCGGACTGTAATTTGTGAAGTCCTGGAAATATTTCATTGTCTGTAGGATCGACAAACTGGATTTCACCGAACTGTTGAAATAAACATAATTTTATTAAAATGGCACAGTTCAATTAATAATAAATTGATTAATGATAAATTGAGATTTACCAATTTTTCAAATTTATCTGATTTAATAATGAATAATCACAAGTTAACTCTTGTATTCCCAATAAAAATTGTACACAAATATATTATAAATAGTATTAAATATATTCATGGGAATGTATTAATGTTTTTTTTTTTAATTATAACTCTGGTCGTGAAATAAACTAAAATCAGAAACTTTGTTTTACAGATTTAAATACCTTTTAAGTCAGAGATAATCGCTAACATGGGATTTTGCATTTTACACTAAATCGATTACAGCAAAACCTCTTTAAAATGCCGCTTTGCTTACCACCAACTTATTTCAAAGTTTCTTTTTCTCCTTTTGTTAAAAATTCCTTTCTATATTTTCCTCAATTGATCACCTAACCCCTTTATAATGCCAAATTTTCTTTGGATAAACGATGGCAGTATAACAAGGTTTTATAACCGTCTATTTTTAAAACAAAAATCATTGACTCACCCTTTGCTGATCAAACTCCTGGTCAAGTCCTCCACAGTGAAAATGCTGACCAATCACCTGTACGAGAGAGCTGAAATCCATATCTGTCGCGTAGTCGGACATGTTTCTCACCTGCGCTGACACACTCTGTGTGGCTTTAGAATTCACCCCAGTCTGCAGATAAACATGACAGATATATACATACACATGTAGGTAAACAAAGGTTTAAAATAGATAGAAATAAATTGTAATTTTCTTAATTTTTGTACGAACTGGACTGGATAAGTATAGCTGGCAACTTGGTAGCTCGACTGGTTAGGAGTTATCTAGTGTTCAGTGGTCATGGTCTGGCTTTGAATTTTTCCTTTCTCGTTACATTTGGTGCCCAACTAACTATATACCCACAGAATTTGAAAGTGGTATATGGTCTTGTGTGTCTTCGGGGAGGAAGAGTTTGTTGACATATAGTGAGATTGAGACTTAGATAAAGGAGGGAGGAATGTTGGAGAACTGTACTGCGTCATACACTGGCGATGAGGTTGCGAAATTTGTTGGAGCATCCGTGTAGAGTTTGAAGGTTCTGAATTTGAGGCTTAGCTGATCTGGTCAGAAGTTTTTCCTTTCCTGGTACATTGTATAAAGCCATTTTCAAATATATATGTATGCATAAAAACAAAACATACTTATGCTTAAAATTACTGAAAACCAGATAGAAATTATTTTGTATGTCTGCATGCATTTATGCAGGGGCACATTATGGTATGGTGCTGTTCATCAGTCTGCAATTTCAATGAATCTTTATCAAATATGTCACAACATTGCTGCCCATGACCCCAAATGTGTGCCGCAACCTTCATCCAAAATCTCTAAGGTCAAGGATCACTAAGGCTTATGAACATCTTAAATGGATGTCTGAAACATATCTCTCTAGTTGACCATCACCCAAAAGTGTATTGCAACTTTCACCAAAGGTCAAGGTCAGGAAGCATTAAATTCCATTAATTAAATGTCAGAATTTGATATATGAAAAACATTAAAAGCATTTGAAACCAGGGTTTTGTCTTCATCTTTCATGCGATCCGAGCATCACTAACAGCTAACCTCATGAATATGACCATAAACCATCATTAAATGATGGTGGTACATGAACATGTTATACATCTGTTCAACGGTCCCAGTTCTAAAATGTAGAGTTGTTTCAAACAGACAAAATGGTTGAAGTTTTCTGTGTATATGGTTTTAAATACATAACTAGATGGAAATACACCTGTCAATGATGCCAAACTTTTGAAGAAATAATTTGCATTAAGTTGGCCATTCTCTAAATGTACTAGCTGTTGATCATTTACTTTAAGTTTGTAATCTTACATCTGTAGTAGGAGCCAAAAAAATGCATGGCCAGACCAGGGTTCCAATCTGGGACCCTCCTTCTTTTAAGTCTCCTTCTTTAAAGACATCACTATTTACAACCACGGGTTGGGTATCCCTTACCATGCATTTGTCCAGTACTTGAAACAAGGGTTGGTCACAGGTACCAAATGTAGTAGGCCAGACCAGGGTTCAAACCCGGGACCCTCTAACCTCTAGATGGACGCTCTACCAATTGAGCTATACCTTACTCAAGTCGCCAACAATCGACCCAGTCCAGTCCCGCTACACATCAACTGACTTGTGTAATTATGTTTATGCTTTGATGACTCAAGTATATAAATATATATATATATGTGAGCTGTAAATCTTACCCCAAAAGGACTTGTGAGGAGTTTGTGTAGTTTGTCTGTGTCAGTCCTGTACAAGAGTGTAAAGTGGTGGTAGGTTTTTGTCCGGGTCAGGCGTGATGCAGTACCAGATACCTGTAGAATAAATGAGTGGGTACAATGTACCAGGAATAGATCAAATGTACAGTAAAACCTCAATAAAATGCCCCTTGTTGCTGTATGTGTCGCTTACAGGTACTCAAAATAATTTCTTTTATTCAAGTCTCTTTTTTTTCTCATATTCGTAAGAATTCCTCTGTACTTTGAGATGTTATATGGCATTTGTCAAATTAATTTGCAACATTATAACCACAATATACCATTCGCAAATTTTTCATGAATGGATCATAGCGATTGTAAATGATGACAATGACCTTGACAACTCATGAAATTGATCATCAATGTCGTCATGAACAATATAGCGTAACCCGAAAGGTCAATAAGATTCCACCTCACTTTGACTATTCCTGACGTCACATGCACCAATCCACCTGGTTTTGAAGAGAACACACATGAAAAACATTTTTAAAATTGTTGTTTCTTTCTCTGATATTAATTAAAATGTGAGGATATTTTGAGAAGTGGTATATATAATGTGATTTTACAGCTGTAACTGTTGCAACTTTCCATTTGATCAGCTATGCTCCGCATAGCCAAAGCTCAATTTACGATAATAGAATTCCTCATGATGACCTCCTTGGGGGTGGGATAGGGGTATCTCAACCTGAGGGGGAAGGATTCTTAGGTTGCCAAACATGAGGCTTTGCCAAGTATTTGGCAAACTAAGAATCTTTTCTTGAGGGTTGAGATTCCCAATTTCACCTCAAGGGGGTGAATCAGGATGATTCTTTTTCTCTACCCCTGAGACGATGAAGGATGTCTCGCACAATGGGAAAAGTGTGGATTAATAGAATCTTTCACCCCCTTTGGGGTGAGACAGGGTAATCTCACCCCGAGGGGTAAGATTCTTAAGTTGTCAAACACGAGGCTTGCCGAGGGTTTGACAGCTTAACAATCTTACCCCAATGGTTGAGATCACCCTGTCTCACTCCCAAGGGGTTGAATGATTATTTTTCTCTTACCCTGTTTACCCTTGTACATATACCTTACATAGACGTTACATCAATGTAAGACAATGTTGATGTGATCGATGCGGCTGAATTGTCGACGTGACGTCATTGTATTGTTGCCGTGACGTCATGGTATTGTTGCTATGAAGTCATACAAATGTTAAGAACGTGCAAAGAACACGTGTAGCTTGTCTCAAACCTAGGGTGAGATAAGAAAATCTCACACGGGTAAAATGGTGGATATCCCTGTCCAGGGTAAAAGAAAAACCTGTCCTGGTGATGATGATGATGGCAGGGTAAGTTAAAATTTGATCACATATTTAGATGATTACACAGCAATTTAATATACTCTACCTTATACAATTTATCAAGGATGATGTCATCACGTTTATTGATCTCAAGATCTAGATCCCATCTTGACTCAATAGCATCAATGACAAACTGAAGGTTTCTACGTCTATCGTAGCGGCATTTATCCGTGATAAAGGAGCAGTTAAGATTTCCTTCGTCATGGTAAACTGTTCCCCCACCACTAGCACGGCGGACAACATCCACTGACATGGTAACGGCCTTCGAAACATTACACTCCAGCCAGGGATTCTGATGTCGTCCAATCACAACACATGGCTTGTTCTTCCACATAAGTAGCACCGATTTCTTCGACAGATCCCGGTTCTCAAAAAGCCATTCTTCCAGTGATAAATTGGCAAATATATTATTGGATTTAGAAACTATAACCTCGTATGTGTGATTATGTGGTAATGATGGTCGTTTTACAACACAAAAAGTTCTTCCTTTACAAAAGGTTTTAGTCCTCAGTTTTTCTATAAAAATACTTCGAAACAACATTTCAAATTTATATTTGAACATAGTTTTCCTGTAATGTATCAAAAGCACTTGCATGTGGTCAACGGGTTGTGTTTGTTCATAACAAGATATTGATATCGTCTGAAATTAAGTGTCCTTCATCTACTTTCACTTTCGTCGAATAAGTTTTCTTTCACAACTACTGTTATAGTATATTAATTTTGACTTCTGCAAAATATATTGTAACGTGGCAGCCCCGTATAAATGGGTGATTTCAACCACCGCTGTTTCGGCCCTGCAGCCGATTTGTTTACATATTGCCGTACGCCTGTGTGACGGGTTTTCACTACATAAATAACACCAATGTCCATTTATTAGTCCAAAATGTGTTTGTACATTAGTTTTAAAGGGTGATTATTCAAATTACAACTACAGAACANCCTGTTATAAATAAACGAATGTGTCCGTCGAAGGTACTTTAAAAATATTATTTAAATTTAAACTAAAAATGTATATTAATAGCGCTAAGATCGAAAATATAATCGCATTTCTTTCCACGGGATCTCAACCGAATATTCTCCACCATGTTTACCGGATGTAGCTCTTCTGTCATCGAAACTCTCTTGTTTTTTCCATACTATATATGGATAAATAAGGTTAAAGTCCAAATTATTCCGAAGTACGGGAAAAGATGGCGACGTCCATGTCGCCGTACGACCAATGGTTGGCAGACAAACTTTTGTCGCTGAACCCCGAGGTCGACACAGATGTCTTCGTCATGTATATCAGCAGTATGTTGGAGGAGGACTCGCCAGCTGACGAAAAACGCGAGTCCATACTCGAACTCTTGGCCGAAGTTTTGGTTGGTACAATGTAGTTTCATCCCGAGCCATATGCCATGCATGTGATGAGTTAGAACTCGGATCACACACAGGGGTTCGTTACAAATGTCTGAAATACGCATATGCTATACTGATATGGGTCACACCACATATCTTTTTATGTATTCTGTGACCCAAATCAGTATACAGTAGCATATGTGTATTTCAGACATTTGTAACGAACCCCAGCTGTGAATCACGGGGGCTAGCAACCATATATTGAATTTGATTGTTACAAGCCCCTGTGTATATAACGTTATATGCAGCGACGTCTTTCTAAAGATATTTATTACATATCTATTTCTGTCATGTTAATTGTCGATGTGGTTAGATCACAGATACAATTTGATTATAGGCCCCTTTCGGTTATCCAGTTCAACCAGTTGAAACGGTTCAACCTGAAAGAAACAACAGGCTTTCAATTTCAAAAGTATTTTATTAACACAAACATATAAGTTAACATTAAAGAAGATATTAGAACAATATTGACAAAAGAATTAGACAACAGGCTATGCCTATATCAGTCTTTTTCTATTTCAGCTAGCTATGTACATGCAATGCTTAAATATTTATAATGTTCCACACCAGCTTATGTGTAATACTCATTGTTTAAGGGACAAAACTTGTCTGAATTAATAATAATAATAACAATACATGAATACTAATTTTGAATGTATCTAAGCATGTATAAGTAACGAAATGTTTTGATGATTTAATATAAAAGTCAACATGTATAAGAATAGTTTTATTTAATTGGTCAGATGCATTATTAATGCCATATAATAAACAGTGCAGATTTAAATATCCTAATAGATTATAAATAGTGGTAATATGATGCCTAATATTTGAATACAGAGGACATTGAAAGAAAAAATGAATTAGATATTCCCTCTGTTCACCACATACCAGGGACAGTATATACTATACGTCCCTGCACATACACATGAAGTATCATCAGTCAGATGGTGTTGTAACTTATCAAAGTTAAGATCACTTTTAAAATTTCTTAGCTGACATAAAATGATGTTAAGTTTCCTCGGAACACAGTTAATAACAAATTTCAAAAATATTTCAACATATTAGAACAGGCTTAAATTTGAGCCGAGGATGACCCAGGAATATTTGGCACTTGCATATCATATTGACGGGTCCTGATGTGCCTGACCGAAACCAAAATGCTGAATTTCGCTAGTTTGCATTATTTCTTTATAAAACAAGGTGATTAACATAATATATTTTAGGATATATATATGTTATGTAATTCACTGGATGGGTAAAAAGGACATACTGTTCTTGATGAATTGTTTTCATTTGTCACAAAACTCTGAAACTGTTCTTTTTTAGCTCTGCCTACAGTTCAGTCCAATTGTGTTCGTTTATCATTGAATATTTCTGCACCACCCGAACAGTTTCAACTGGTATATGATTGGGATCATATAGCTACTTAGCCTCTTATTATTTTATGTCAATGTACCCATGAATATAACAGTATATACACAGGGGCTAGTAACAATCAAATTCAATTATGTCAATGTACCAATGAATATAACAGTATATACACAGGGGCTAGTAACAATCAAATTCAATTATGTCAATGTACCCATGGATGTATTAACAGACAGGTGCCACTGTGGTTAAGGCGTCTGACATTCACTACCACTAGCCCGCCACCACTGGGTCACGGGTTCGAGGCCTACGTGGGGCAGTCGCCAGGTACTGGCCATAGGTCGGTGTGGGTTTTCCAAGAACTTCGGCTTTCCTCCAAAACCTGACACGTCCTTAAGGTAATAGGATTGTGTCACCATATCTCAGTAGAATTTCTTCAAATTTTCTAGTAATATTGCTTTGAAGTAAAGAAAAATTTCTGCCACAAAAAAAATATAGGTTGTCAGAATTGTAAGGATTTTAAATGGAAATCTATGTAAAAATGAGTGAATTTTGATAAAAATAAATAAAACATGCAATGTTTTGCAAAATAATGTCAATCAAAATGATACTGACATAGATTAGTATCGTAATGTATATCAATTTCAAAAACGCTGAAATTGTGTAAAACTAATTATCTATAAACGATTAAAAATTGGCATTTTATAATAAAACCATATACACATAGTAATTGCAGGTAAGAGTTATCGTTCTTGAAAAACTTCACAGTAGTGAAATAGGTAGCCGGTTTCCTGAAGTACAAAAAATTGACACATGTGACTCATTGATAAAAAAAACCTGAATTAATGCCTGGATTGCTTTGAAATACTTTAATATTGAGAGAACACACTGTTTTGTCAATAATAAACATACAATATTCATCAGTTTAATATTAAACATTAGAATTTGCGGAAATTGTGATACTGTCTCCCTACATTGGATTTTCAACAAGGGATGTACTTCCTGTTTCCGTTTATCAATACACTCCAATGACCTTAAATGACCGTAGCTGTTAATAGGGCGGTGCCCGATCTGACGTAAAACACAATAAAAGGATTGACATACTATATAATACCTGTGCTTTATGGATACTATTAGAAAGTATTGATAAATATAAAAACAAATAAGTTATCAATGTCAGCTGTCAACTAGCTATAGATATATATGTATTATACACACAATTTATAGTAAATCAGATCTACAGTGTGCACAGCCTGCTCATATTATACATGTATGGCATGACTAAGTACTATTGACCTATACTGATTACTTTATTGAAATATCAGGAAACGGACCGTGAACTAGCCTGTGATGAAATTATGAAGAAATATGATGAAATAAACAACAAACATACAAACAAGAATACAGAATCAGGTAAGTGATCACTGTACGAAAGTGATGGGCACTCGGTTTAAAATCATAATAAATAATCGTTTTGTAATACTCAATACTAAATATAGGATGTAGTAATTAAACCGATCGATGATCGATTACATAATAGGTTAATACTTTTATGGGACTGAACACCTGAAAAAAGTGAGAGCACTATTATAGCTATTAAATCAATAGACTGAGTTGTTCACCATACATTAGATTACATTCTTTCATAATTAATGGTTATCAAGCAACTTCTTTGCATTTGTATCCCAATCATATAGTATAAATCATAAGAATATATGACTTTTAAAGTATACTTTATACATGGAAGACATTTAAATACTTGGATTTCAATGATGAACCGATTATGGAATTTGTAATCCATAATCGAAATCTGAAAGGGCAACCCGATTGATTTTCGATTTTAATCGATCATCAGCCCATCACTTTTGTTAGATGGTATAACATAATTTTTTTCTCAAGAGCAAAATTCCCTTATTGTCACTTCTTTCTATATGAAATTGACACAGGAAGGCAACTACCTCAGTACACTTTCTAGACTCTTACATGCACTTGCTCAGAACAAAAATAAGAGCTCAATAGTCTGTATGATCACTTTGAAATCCTAGGCACATCTCTAGTGGTATACAGTTCTACTTATCAATGGTACCAGGGAATAGTAACATAGATGTTATGTTGGGGCTATTGAAAATGTTTAATATCAACTATGTAAATATAGATTGGGCTATAGTAGAATGTTTGAAATACAACCTGCGGATTAGTACTCTTAACCCTTTCACCACTGTAGACCATAATAGACTCATCCATATCAATACATGGGAGAGTCTACTAAAGTTACACAGGGGTGAAAGGGTTTATATAAAATTAAGTTAGAAATGGGTAGACAACATCCGACGGAAGGTTAATCAGCAATATTTATTATAGTTTACATGTTTCGGCAGACTTGGTATGCCGTTCAGAACAGTATGACAATTCAAAAACTTACCTTAAGTAAGAAAGTATAAAATTGTACAACCAAGCTGACGTAAGGCCCTTTTGATTTATCTTATCATAAACTATAACTAATTAAAATTTACGAAGTGAAAATCCAATTTTCATTTGCTGTATGAATATCGATCTGCTCATTTGAGATCTTCTGTAGTCTATATATATGATACTAAGTTTTTGTCAGTACATTTATGATGTGATGTTCCTTTGTTTACAGCTCAGAAAAATATTGCAGACCAGCTGTCTAACATGCTGGAGAAACAGACTATAGAGCCTGTCAAGGTCAAGGACACACCTACTGACAAAGCCGAAGACCGGGCCAGGAAGGAGGCCATCTTAGCTCAGTATTCCAACGTGTCGGATGAAGAAGACGAGTATCCTTTCTCATACAGTCGTTTCTTTTAAAACAATAACTTTTAAATCCTTTGATAACAATTCAGCACAATTCAGAAACTGAGCCTCACAATTAAAGGATATATGGAAACCCTCTTTATATAATAATTATTATAAGCTTAATTCACCCCTGAAATTTCCTAATGATCTAATCCAACCTTTGGATTGGAAAAGTTCAAATGTGTCTTCAGGGGTGAATGAGTTAAAGGATTTAGATTTAAGATATAGTGCATTCCATTTAACGTAACGTTCCAGTTGTGCTAACTCGGAACTAACCTGTTAAATCGAACAGCGCTTTTCAAATAATATTTCAGCATGTGAAAATCTAATGATTTAATACGGAAACAAGTGGGTTTTTTTCCAAAATAAACTTAACAGCTAAAGCATAAAACAAATTTGAAACAATGCAGATTGCCAACTTAATGTACAAGTTTTACACACTTTGACATTACATGGAGTCGGTAATAATTTTATTAGACTGATTTAATACAGCTTAATTTGTTATACATTGTACATAGACTATTTTAACACGATTCGTTTGCAACACATGTTTTGATTGGATACAGACCATGTTCTAATCTGCGATAGAATCATGATCAATCGTGTTAAGCTCTTCCCATCGCACTTAAGCCACGCCTAGTTTCTAACCAAAACAATATGGTGTCAAGCTCGCCTCTTAGCAAAATCCCGCTGATAAGGCTAGCAGGCGACAGAACAGAAACGACCGATGAAATGCATTTGTTGAATGAATTAAAAAGTAAAAAGTACACATTACTTGTTCTAATTTTTCGTGTCTATACTGGCGATTAGAACACGAGTTCAAACCCCATGTTCTAATTGCCAGTATAGCCACTCTAAACAACGTAATATCCCCTAAATAAACAATTTGGTAAACATCTGAAATTAAAAATTTCACTGGCCCCCATATATTGGATCCAACTTTGTACCCTAAAAGGAGATGTTCCCAATAAACGGGTTCGTTCCGACAGAATGTCACATTTCATTAAGTGGATCACTTGGTTCGTATCGGCGCCACTGGAGCCATCCCCTAAACGGAACATGTAACAAGTCTGATTTACGGAGAACAAGATGAGTGACAAAAGGCCCAATGGGCCTGTTTTAAAAGTATGCATTGTGTTTGTAATATTATTTAGATTTAACATTATTAATCATACACTCCTTAACCACTAATAGTGATGGACATTCTAGCCATACTGGAACCAAAGGAGGAGGAGGAGGAGCAGCCGCAAGTGGTGCTGCAAGCGGTGCCTCAGGGGACTGTATCCTTCACTATTAAATTCTGAGCACAGGAGTATGACACTATACATTGTGAAAATATGTTGTTCAATGATAGAAATTATACCTTCCATGTTATTATGAAAACAGGTTGTCTATTGGTGTCGGTCTGTAAGCAGAATTTCTTTCGCAATTCTTTCAGAAATACAGTGACCGCCAGATTTTTAGCTCAGCTGGCACAAGGTTCTGATGTCATGTCACAGGAAAAGTGGCTCAATTTAATTATTTAAGAAGAAACTGTTGTCAGAATGTTATCAGAACTGAATTATATATCATTGGTATCATAGATTTATGATTTCATTGAACCAACCAGAAGGAAGGTATTGTGATATGTATCCCGATATATTGTCGTATATAAATGGAAAAAGATGCTCAAGTTAAAAAGAAATTGTTGTCAGAATGTTATCAAACTGAGTCCTGTAAGATGGTTCTTCAGATTTTAGTTGAAGCATCTATAGATTATGAATTTTTACCTGATTCCCATCACTAGTAATAATTATGATTTGAGGTTTTTATATACCACTTTATCACTTAGGTCGTTTCAAAGCTGTTCATAAATTATTATCTGTGTTTATAGAGCCTTTGCAACCAGCCAATATCTCTCTCAACTCCCTGGGTACAATATAGCCGGTGCTGCCATTTCGGCGCTCACAGCTAGCATTCAATAATTCTAGCACTGCCAAATTTCAACCACATACTCATTTACAGCTGAGTAGGCTGGAACAAGCAGAGCTCACAATAGCTTGCTTATAGTTATTTGCATAATATCTGTTAGAATGTGTAGAAAATTGTAATGTAAAACCAAGTTTCTGAAAAATAAATGCGATACAGCTATATTTCATTACTGTATTTCAGTATGATATGATAGACCTGTGTATTGCGATTTATTGGTTTTCTGATATATATTGTGACAGCCCTAATAGATATTATGTATGTATCGTGTCAGTCCTTGGTGAAAAAACCGATTTGTCTGTGTTTCACTGAATGTTTTGTGTTTGAATGAGGACTTTTGTTAAAAGCTTGTATTACACAAAGTCATATATTTAATAATAAGCTTTACAGGAAAAACAATTCATATATTTCACAGTGGTAGGTTAATGTTCCAGCTATAGTCTGGCATTGGTAGGTTAATGTTCCAGCTATAGTCTGGCATTGGTAGGTTAATGTTCCAGCTATAGTCTGGCATTGGTAGGTTAATGTTCCAGCTATAGTCTGGCATTGGTAGGTTAATGTTCCAGCTATAGTCTGGCATTGGTAGGTTAATGTTCCAGCTATAGTCTGGCATTGGTAGGTTAATGTTCCAGCTATAGTCTGGCATTGGTAGGTTAATGTTCCAGCTATAGTCTGGCATTGGTAGGTTAATGTTCCAGCTATAGTCTGGCATTGGTAGGTTAATGTTCCAGCTATAGTCTGGCATTGGTAGGTTAATGTTCCAGCTATAGTCTGGCATTGGTAGGTTAATGTTCCAGCTATAGTCTGGCATTGGTAGGTTAATGTTCCAGCTATAGTCTGGCATTGGTAGGTTAATGTTCCAGCTATAGTCTGGCATTGGTAGGTTAATGTTCCAGCTATAGTCTGGCATTGGTAGGTTAATGTTCCAGCTATAGTCTGGCATTGGTAGGTTAATGTTCCAGCTATAGTCTGGCATTGGTAGGTTAATGTTCCAGCTATAGTCTGGCATTGGTAGGTTAATGTTCCAGCTATAGTCTGGCATTGGTAGGTTAATGTTCCAGCTATAGTCTGGCATTGGTAGGTTAATGTTCCAGCTATAGTCTGGCATTGGTAGGTTAATGTTCCAGCTATAGTCTGGCATTGGTAGGTTAATGTTCCAGCTATAGTCTGGCATTGGTAGGTTAATGTTCCAGCTATAGTCTGGCATTGGTAGGTTAATGTTCCAGCTATAGTCTGGCATTGGTAGGTTAATGTTCCAGCTATAGTCTGGCATTGGTAGGTTAATGTTCCAGCTATAGTCTGGCATTGGTAGGTTAATGTTCCAGCTATAGTCTGGCATTGGTAGGTTAATGTTCCAGCTATAGTCTGGCATTGGTAGGTTAATGTTCCAGCTATAGTCTGGCATTGGTAGGTTAATGTTCCAGCTATAGTCTGGCATTGGTAGGTTAATGTTCCAGCTATAGTCTGGCATTGGTAGGTTAATGTTCCAGCTATAGTCTGGCATTGGTAGGTTAATGTTCCAGCTATAGTCTGGCATTGGTAGGTTAATGTTCCAGCTATAGTCTGGCATTGGTAGGTTAATGTTCCAGCTATAGTCTGGCATTGGTAGGTTAATGTTCCAGCTATAGTCTGGCATTGGTAGGTTAATGTTCCAGCTATAGTCTGGCATTGGTAGGTTAATGTTCCAGCTATAGTCTGGCATTGGTAGGTTAATGTTCCAGCTATAGTCTGGCATTGGTAGGTTAATGTTCCAGCTATAGTCTGGCATTGGTAGGTTAATGTTCCAGCTATAGTCTGGCATTGGTAGGTTAATGTTCCAGCTATAGTCTGGCATTGGTAGGTTAATGTTCCAGCTATAGTCTGGCATTGGTAGGTTAATGTTCCAGCTATAGTCTGGCATTGGTAGGTTAATGTTCTAGCTATAGTCTGGCATTGGTAGGTTAATGTTCCAGCTATAGTCTGGCATTGGTAGGTTAATGTTTCAGCTATAGTCTGGCATTGGTAGGTTAATGTTCCAGTTATAGTCTGGCATTGCAGTTCTATATAAGTGTACAATTCCTTGATTTATAACCAGCTCTGCTAATGAAAAACACAAACGCTGAGACCGTGGGACAGGTCGAGAAGGAAAAACGAGAGAAGGCCAAGGAAGAATCGGACAAGAAAAAAGAGAAGGACAAACAAGATCGAGCACAACAAAAACAGAAAGGGGTGGACAGAAAGGATGCGGAGAAAAAACGTACACAGAAAGGCGAGAGAAGGAGATAGCATTGTTAAAAGATAAAACTAGGACATTTTATAATTCGGATACATCAAAACCGCAACAGATGTTACTGGCAACATACATGTAAGCTATAGACAGAATTACGCTTTACAGACACGTTTACAGGGCCGCCATCGTTTATCATGATCCAAACGGTTGGACCAGAGTTGTTCGTTTATGAAATAAGGTCGGACCCAGTAATCTGATGCTGCTTTCGGCCGAGCCCTTGACAATGCCTATGCCTATGTATAAACATTTGCAGATCCGCCAAGATTTATACCCAAACATGTTGACATTAGAATAGACAAAACCTGTTGTTCCTTATAAACGAACAAGTCCCATGTAATATGGAAAATTGATAGAATGCCGTAAAACTCTTCAATTGTAAAAAGATCATGTAACTCTTAAATTGTAAAAAGATCATGTTTAAATATTGTTTTTGATATGATTTAACTAGTGAGGGGACGATGATTGATTATGATCAACAATAAATTGGTTTGCCCTTTCCGATTCTGATTATCGATTACAAATTCCATAACCAATATAATCTGCTCATTACTGAACCAGTGTCAAAATAAAATGTATGAAATCTACATTATGCATTGCAAGTAATTTATTTTGTTTATTTTTTAATCATATGATTGATCTTAGTGTTGAAATAGGGACAACCCTAGTGATTAAACCCTTTCACCACTGTAGACCATAATGGACTCATCCAGATCAATGCATGGTAGAGTCTACTAAAGTTACTTACATAGGGGTGAAAGGGTTAATGTTGTTTTTGGGCCTGACTTGTAAAGACTTTCAAGACTTGAATTAACATTTGCAGGTCAGTCCGGTTTAACCCCGAAATGTTGCGTCTAAAAAATTTACAAATCAGTTTGTCCGTATTAACAAACTAAAAAGTAAACCAACTCTGTCTATTGACGTGTTGTCACTTTTAATACTGTATACAGTCACATAAACTATATTTAGTCAAATATCAATCAGTTTTCTATTTCGGAATATGAACAGATTTCGTAACAATTCTAAACCAGTTGCCACCATCACTAGATATTTAATATGGCCACATTCGTTCCAAACGGTTGGACCAGAGTTGTTTGTATATGAAATAAGGTCAGACCCAGTAATCTGATGCTGCTTTCAGACGAGACTTGACAAAGCCCTGCAAGGCCTGCATTAAAATTTCCAGGACGCCAGGATTTAAACCCGAAAATGTTACATTTAAAAAAAAAAGCAGTTGAACTGTATTTGCAAAAGGGGCCATGTATCCTTGTAGTGAAAGCAGCAAAGGGAGGTAATCTACTAGGAATGAAACAAAAAATGTTCTGGATGTTTATGAATGTTCAGGGATGTGCATTTCAACTAGTCCACAGCTAGTCTACAGTAATAGATGTTATATGTCAGCACTAGTGAAAATTTGCAATATATGTTATGAAAATATAGCTTGTGCTAGTAGAATTTTACAAAAATCTGCTCGAGAGCTAGTACATTTGTATTTGAAATATTAAATTGTTAACTCTCTGAAATAAAATATTTTATTGAATTTTAATTATGTAAAATCCATACATTAATGTTTGATGCAAATCCAAGTGAAAAAAACACAAATTTTGTTAATTAGATAATAGTTAATCTACTTGGATTCTACAGATTTCACATTGAACATTACGGTAATTTTAAAATTTTGTGTAGATTTTGAAATTGTAAGTAAATTGCTGTATTTGTACATGTCAATCATAAAATTGATAAACACGTATTAGAAATAATTTTGTTATCATTTTTATTATCATAAATCTCACAATTTCACTTTGGGCATTTTTTCAATCTGACTGTTAGATAATTTTAATCTGTACTTCTTTTGAATTGCTGGATCCTAAAATAAAAAAATAAAACCACATTAATCTAATTTAACCATAATTTGAATAAAAAAACACATGCATCTCAGTACATGTATCACAATTTTCTGAGTTAAATTTTAAGCCATTCTTCTGATTCCTATAATTTAAAAGAAAAAAATCTGGAGAACTACATTTTGATTTATGAATACGTATTGCATATGTGTCTGTTGTATTCCTATCTGTCAGTAATTCTAGAACAGATGTACTAAATAGTTGTTGAATTTCGGGGGGGGCTGATATTTCGCAGTTGACCACATCAGAACTATAGTGCAGATTAAATTTTGCGCCACATTGCCATGTAAAAATTTAGCGGACACCATGGTACTTTGGATTTAATTCAGCTCATTCACCCCTGAAGTTTCTTAATGAACTATTCCAACCTTTGAATTGGAAGAGTTTAAATGTGTCTTCAGGGGTGAATAAGTTAAATGTGAATCAAAAAAGGTAAAATATAATATAGAATTTTGTTTATCTTCATTGTTAGGCAGTGAATGGGTTAACAGTTGATTCTATATCTCCGTTTATATATTCTTAATGATTGATATTCGTGGTATTAATATTCCCTGAGTGTTTAATTTCACGCTGTCTTTGATGACAGCAAATATGGCTTGATGAACCCCCGAACCTGAATATACCATTGTTGGGGCACATAACTTCCATTCAGTGAAATTCTGCAATCGATCACCATTGGTAAAATGTTAGCCATATATTGCAGTAAAACCTGGTTGTAGAATTTATGACTGTATATGAAAAGGCCAAAAAACGAAATTTAGTTCCAACTATAGTGTTTAATGATGTTGTGATCAAAGTTGGTTAATTTTAAGGTTACAATCTACATAGTTGTACACATTGGTACAGGCATGTAGGGAAGTAATTTGTGAAACACTGGCATCCTTCCTCCACGATAGGTATATTTTCTCATTATATTAATTAACAGATATAATGCTTGTTTGTTTGTTTGTGTTTTACATCCTATTAACAGCTATGGTCATTTAAGAACGTGCCAGGTTTTGGTGGTGAACGCGGAGAAAAAACTGCAACCTGGTCTTCACTTTTCCATAAACAGCATGCCGTTTGTTTGGTACATTTACATCTGATGCTTATAATGACACCTGACTGAAACGATTTGATGTGGATTTTTACATACAGAATACTGTTGTTGATAATATCTCTATCATATTTTTTAGGAAAGTCCTGTATTTTCAGAAAAGATTTATCAAAGCTATAGCTTGCTGGAAATAAACAGTTACCATTGTATATAGCCATAGTTTTGGGCAGTGGTACGGGGATCCTTAAATCCTAGAAATTGCTTGGATGTATCTCTTTCGCTATTGCATTTAATTTTCTGGTTTTCTATCAGACATCATTTAAGGCAACTCCCCAGAGGCATTTTCATGATAGCAACTCTCATGTTAAACTCTTCATTGTTCATTCATTTTGATTTAACCCTTTCACCACTGCAGACCATAATGGACTCATCCATATCAATGCATGGTAGAGTCTACCAAAGTTACGTAGGGGTGAAAGGGTTAGTCTTTCTTCTCACTTACGGTAATGGACATTTTGTTTTACATTTTATGTTTCTTATCATATTTATATGCCTGCAATTGCAAGTCAGTTATGAAATACTTTTGTCCAGTAAAATGAACAACCATAAGGTAACTTACCGGAAGGTACCTGAAATCATATCCAGTGTACTAGACAACAGGAAGAATACACCCCCAAAAATATAAACTGCTATTTTATATCAAAATTCTGTCAGTATTTTAAGGTTCGACTGAAAACAAAAGATAGTGAGACAATATTTTTGATAACTTAAGTTATATATTGTAATACATTATTAAGAATTACATCATTCTCAAAAGCCCAGGGTTACGCACACCGCATCCTGATACAGTATCGTGATACATATTGTATTGTGAACACTGAGTATCGTGATACGTATCGTATTGTGAACACAGTATCATGATACGTATCATATTGTGAACACAGTATCATGATATGTATCGTATTGTGAACACAGTATCGTGATACGTATCGTATTGTGAACACAGTATCATGATAGGTATTGTATTGTGAACACAGTATCATGATACGTATCGTATTGTGAACACAGTATCATGATACGTATCGTAGTGTGAACACAGTATTGTGATACGTATCGTATTGTGAACACAGTATTGTGATACGTATCGTATTGTGAACACAGTATCGTGATACTTTCGTATTGTGACCACAGTATCGTGATATGTATCGTATTGTGAACACAGTACCTGGATACGTATCGTATTGTGAACACAGTATCTTGATACTTTCGTATTGTGAACACAGTATCATGATACGTATCGTATTGTGAACACAGTATCATGATACATATTATATTGTGAACACAGTACCGTGATACATATCGTATTGTGAACACAGTATCGTGATACGTATCATATTGTGAACACAGTATCATGATACGTATCATATTGTGAACACAGTATCATGATACGTATCGTATTGTGAACACAGTACCTGGATACGTATCGTATTGTGAACACAGTACATGTATACGTATCGTATTGTGAACACAGTACCTGTATATGTATCGTATTGTGAACACAGTACCGTGATACATATCGTATTGTGAACACAGTATCTTGATACGTATCGTATTGTGAACACAGTACCTGGATACGTATCTTATTGTGAACACAGTACCTGTATACGTATCGTATTGTGAACACAGTACCTGGATACGTATCGTATTGTGAACACAGTATCTTGATACTTTTGTATTGTGAACACAGTATCATGATACGTATCGTATTGTAAACACAGTACCTGGATACGTATCATATTGTGAACACAGTACCGTGATACGTATCATATTGTGAACAAAGTATCATGATATGTATCGTGTTGTGAACTCAGTATCATGATTGTATCGTATTGTGAACGCAGTATCATGATACGAATTGCATTGTGACCACAGTATCGCGATATGTATCGTATTGTGAACTCAGTATCATGATTGTATCGTATTGTGAACGCAGTATCATGATACTTTCGTATTTTGAACACAGGATCGTGATACGTATCGTAATGTGAACACAGGATCGTGATACGTATCGGATTGTGAACACAGTATAATGATACGTATCGTATTTTGAACACAGGATCGTGATACGTATCATATTGTTAACACAGTATCATGATACGTATCGTATTGTGAACACAGTATCATGATACGTATTGTATTGTGAACACAGTATCTTGATACTTTCGTATTGTGAACACAGTATCATGATACGTGTCGTATTGTGAACACAGTATCATGATACTTTTGTATTGTGAACACAGTATCGTGATACGTATCGTATTGTGAACACAGAATCTTGATACTTTCGTATTGTGAACACAGTATCATGATACGTATCGTATTGTGAACACAGTACCGTGATACGTATTGTATTGTGAACACAGTATCATGATACTTTCGTATTGTGAGCACAGTATCGTGATATGTATCGTATTGTGAACACAGTCCTGGATACGTATCGTATTGTGAACACTGAGTATCATGATACGTATTGTATTGTGACCAAAGTATCTTGATACTTTCGTATTGTGAACACAGTATCGTGATATGTATCGTATTGTGAACCCAGTACCGTGATACCTATCGTATTGTGAACACAGTATCGTGATACGTATCGTATTGTGAACACAGTATCGCGATACGTATCGTATTGTGAACACAGTACCGTGATACGTATCGTATTGTGAACAAAGTATCATGATATGTATCGTATTGTGAACACAGTATCTTGATACTTTCGTATTGTGACCATAGTATCATGATACGTATCGTATTGTGAACACAGTACCGTGATACGTATTGTATTGTGAACACAGTACCCTGATACGTTTCGTATTGTGAACACAGTATCATGACGTATCATATTGTGAACACAGTATCATGATATGTATCGTATTGTGAACACAGTATCTTGATACGTATCGTATTGTGAACACTGAGTATCATGATACGTATTGTATTGTGACCACAGTATCTTGATACTTTCGTATTTTGAACACAGTATCGTGATATGCATCATATTGTGAACACAGTACCGTGATACGTATTGTATTGTGAACACAGTATCGTGATATGTATCGTATTGTGAACACAGTACCGTGATACGTATCGTATTGTGAACATAGTATCATGATATGTATCATATTGTGAACACTGAGTATCATGTTATGTATTGTATTGTGAACACAGTATCATGATACTTTCGTATTGTGAACACAGTACCGTGATACGTATCGTATTGTGAACACAGTATCTTGATACTTTCGTATTGTGACCACAGTATCATGATACGTATCGTATTGTGAACACAGTATCGTGGTACGTATCTTATTGTGACCACAGTATCATGATACGTATCGTATTGTGACCACAGTACCGTGAAACATATTGTATTGTGAACACAGTACCGTGATACGTATTGTATTGTGACCACAGTACCGTGATACGTATCGTATTGTGACCACAGTACCGTGAAACGTATTGTATTGTGAACACAGTATCGTGATACGTATTGTATTGTGAACACAGTGCCGTGATACTTATCGTATTGTGACAACAGTACCGTGATATGTAACGTATTGTGAACACAGTATCATGATACGTATCGTATTGTGACCACAGTACCATGTTACGTATTGTATTGTGAACACAGTACCTGGATATTAACAACAAAAAATATACCATTTTATTTCTAAGTGTCATTTTTCTTTACATAACTCTTTTTCAGTTTTTTTGAGCAAGTGATATCTCCTTCATAGAACTTTCAAAGGGTTGGCAAGTATAAAATGGTGGCATGGAGCCTTAATTACTGTAAGCTATTTAACATCTATTGACCTGTTCATGTTATCTAAACTAGATTAGTAAAGATACATTGTACAATGTCAAAGTACTTTCAATTATATCCTACACATGTATAACCTACTTTGAAATGACTCATCTTGTACCCATGCATGCATAGAAATCTTATATCCCTGGTACAAATGTATCACTCATTGAGATGGGATCTTTAAGCATATAAAAACACCAGGATTGGGATGAATTAGGATGAAGATTGTACTGATAGTATTAATAAACTGCCTTAGACTTTGTTGTTTTAATAACATTATTTTTGAATTGTCTGAAGAAGATAAAAAGACATTTGACCTTGAAAAGGCATTTTTTGGAGTGATCTGTATATTTTTGAATGCTTAAAACTATATAACTTTTTTTTGCTTTTGCTGAATAAAACCATGTTTTCTCCTATAAAAAGTGTCACTCTTATTTATTATGTTTCACATTAGAAAGACAAGACATAAACAACCATCTGTTAGTGTACCAGACTTTCCTTCTCCAAACCATGACTCATATTATAATCTCTTCCCGACAAGGTAAATAGAGAAGATATATCTTCATTAACTTTCATATATTGGTCGTATATTTGTCAAACAGTTTATTTTTCAAGTTGCCAAGGTCAAGGTCACCATTTCTATTTAAAGGTGGGTTTTTTCATCTGTCAGCCAACTTCATTTCTATATAGACTTATAAAACTTCATATTTTCTTAAGTATAAGAATACTTGTAATAACTTTGATATTTAGGGGTGCAAAGGTCAAGGTAACAATTACCATGTATAGATAACTTTTATTATCACTTAAGGGGTAAAGTATGAGAATACTTCAAATAAGTTCATGAATCTGAGCGTTAAGATCAAGCACATACTTACTACTTCTACCATATCTTAGTCATCACTCGAACAACTTAACTTTTAAAAGGATTTTGATCAAAACTTCATGTATTGTCAAATATGCGAGAGTACCTGGCATCAAGTTTGTGTGTTCAAGGTCATGGTTACTTTTTTTTCATTGCCTTAGTGACTTCCATTTCTGAAAGGATTTTGTGTAAAATTTCATATGAATAAGTTTGGGTTTTGAGGGTGCTGGGTCAAGATCACTTACTATATTTAGATTTCTTTGGTTATATTTCTTACATTTCTACATATCCAACACAGCCTTAGTTTTAGAATGTTAAGTTGATTTTTTTGTGTAATTTTCTATGTCCAATATTACGGCTGTGATTGGTACTTTTTGTGTGACATACCAGGAGAAGCATAGGACACAACGACGATATAGTGACCTACATGTACTTCTTGCACTCTGTCATCCCAAGATGTTGTACTCCAAATCTGGTCACTCAAGCTGGTGAAGAAGATATAGAAGAAGTATAGAAGATATGCTCCGGACAATTTTTTTCAAAAGTTAAGGTCAAAACATAGGTTACAGTGAGGTCATAGTGACCTAATTCTTGCACGGTGCACTCTGCCATCCCAAGATGTTCTTGTACACCAAATCTCATTACTAGATATTTTGATGAAGATCGTGGTTAAAGTTCAAAGGTCAAGTGTAGATATCGCTAAGGTAATGGAGACACGCTGCACACTGGGCTGTGTATCATTAATTTTACACCCAAGGTCAAGGTGACAAGTGAAGGTTAAACATCCATACATTTCAGTGCCAGGATAGGAAAAGTGCATAGCCAGACTGGGATTCGAACCTGGGACCTCAGAACTCCGAGATGGATGCTCTAACCCAAACCCATTGAGCTTCCATGTCCTGGCAATTGACTGTCCAGTTCTGCTACATTTCTTGTAAATCCACATCGCTTCAAGATCACCCATTTCATTTCACTTACTTCTTATTAGGTTGAGAGAAAAAAAAGATTACAAGATGAAATCTTACTGGCAATGCTTTTACAAAATAAATTTCACTTATCAGACCTCAATTTTGATCAATAGTTGAAAGGTCACAGTGACCTAATTACACAGTAATTCTTCTGAGTGTGATCGAGTTCAAAACTTTTATGAGCATCATTCAAACTGCAAGTTTTGCGTGTGAAAATTGTTCACCTATGACTTTTGACCTTAAAATGAAGGTCACTGTGACCTAATTACAGTAGGCATGTGAACCAATTATTTGCTCGTGGCTGGCTTGTACAGGGTGGCAGCAAAAACTGAAATGAAAGTGGCAAAAATAACCCTGAAAATGCAGTATAGCAAAAAATCTTGACAATATAGGGGTTTTTTTCAATTTTTTATTTATCTTGTGATTGTTTTTTTCTCTCTAGTTTCAATGATTTTTTTCTAAACATGATCCTAGCATCAATACAAATGTCTAGTGTTACATTACATCACTCATATGATGATCTACAGTACACTTAAACATCCTGTCAAAACACAGTATTAACCATTCTATGGCATTACCACCATGTAACTCTGCCAGATTCAAATGGCATTCATATCTGCTATGAATGCTATGACCAACATGCTGATGCCATCAATATGATGTCGTAATTGTTAACATTGGTTAGAACTGAAGGTGGATAACCCCTTCCCTACACTGAAGATTGCTGTTGTATCGCGTTATACAACACAACTATTATTATAATTTTATTTTCTAAAAGATCAAAAAAGTCTAATAAATGGTAAAGATAAGTTTTGAACCGCTTTCTGTTGGTATTCATAGTCAATGATAAATTCAACAGATTCAAATTTAATGTTTAATACCATTAATTTGCAATAACAACAAATTGGGTGTCCGTTCTTAATTTTCACAGCTGTAAAACAAAACTTATTACAAGCAGACAACATAAAAATACTTTTAAAAAAAAGAAGACTTTTCAAGATTTTTAAGCAGATCAAGTTTGCTGTACTACGAGATAGAAAATTCTTATACTGACAATTTTTGCTGTTGAAGTAATATATAATTAATGTAAAAGATTTGAGCAATTTTGCAGATATTCTGCAGACAAATCAACATACATATGTAGCTTCCAAGATACAATATGGAATGAACTCATGTCTGATACCCGTGATGGTACAGGGAATTTTGTAAGTTAAATAACTTTTTGAGGAACAATATTTCATATTTATGAAGCATTCAAGAAAAGCTATTTAGGTCTATAAAAGATATTTGTTTGCCGTATTTTTCCACCAATAAGCCTGTGCCTGGTAATAAGCCCACCCATATGTATTGCATTTTCATTAGAAATGGAAACTAAAGCTATTTAACTGTCCTATAATAAGCCCATGCCCATATTTTTTCTAAGAGAATATGTGTTGATTCCCTGGGCTTATTGCAGGATATACATATATATAAATATACATATGGTTTCTATGATCTGAATCCTTACAGAAATAAACTTGTGATTATAAAAATATTTTTTTTACAAGATTACCACATAATGGCAGAAAAATGAAATTAAATGTAAGTGTAATGGCCGTAAAAAAATATTTCCAGTAAAAGTAATTTACTGTTAAAGCAGAAAGTAAAAGCACTTAGTCATGTAAGTAATTAGTCTTGGCGCAATAATTTTGCCTGAATTGTGACATTATCAGGGACGTTTAGTTTTACCGAATTTGAAATAAAATCTATAACAGATATAACAGGAAACTTTTTACTATTCTTGTTTTTAAAACTGATACTTCCAAAAAATACCTGGCATACAGTATTTTAAGCATATTCAGCCTGTAACATTAAATTATAACAGAAGTTAATATGATTACACAATACAATAATGGTTTTGAAAAAATACGAGATTGTTTTACATTGTATTACCGAATCATTGACTGAAACAACTGGATAGGAAAAAACAAGCTTCACAACCTTACACACACATTCAATGGTGCAACACTGTCCATGGTTCATACAAACTTCATTTCATACAAGAATACACCCTCAAAATCCGAAGGTTCGGCTCTCAAAAAATCTTCTCTTCTCCCCTCAACTTTATCAACAAAAAATTGAAGTCTTTACGCGGCACCGTGTGGATGATAAAAGCAGACTAGTCTGATGTGTTATCATGAAGATCAAAGGAACAGCTTGCCAGCGTAACAGTAAAACGACAGGCTGAGTATATATAACTGGGTGTAGCTCCAATATAATCTTCAAATGACAACTAGATATCAGCCTGGCAATCGGTCAGGATTTTATACTTGAAACCAATCAAATAACAAGCCTTTCGATTTTGTCATAATATTACTGTATACCGCAAAATTCCGCCCAGTCAAACGTTTGCCTTTCGCCTATGAAACAATTTTCACCCAGTGTAAATTTCACCCCTCACATTTAATTACCGTCTTTATTGTGCTGATCACTTATATTCGCTGTAATGATAAGTTTGTCTTCATATAAAAGGGAGGGCAAAAAAGGCGAAAATTTAACTGCAGCAATAATTTCGTGGTGTGCAGTTTTCCAAGGGTGCAGAGAAGATATGTTATGTGTTTCGAGAGAGAATAATTGATTCAGAGGAAAAACAACAAAACTGAAATCTTAAAAGTGTACTCCACTATCATTCACAATCATTTAACTATCAGATATACAGAATGTTACTTCAGAATGACCGGTGGTCAAATAAACAGCCTTGAAAAAGCATGCACCTTCACATTTATCATTAAGATATAAAACAGGCGCTGGTGATCTTTAACCAGCTCAAAAGAAAACAATATCGGGTGCATTCGTATTTCTAGATCAACTGGTCAAACTGTTTGGAACATGAAAAAGGAAAGTGCTCCAGTAATTTGGCATTAAATGTGGTGTCATCTTTAAACTTACATTTCAAATATCAAAAAAAAAATCTGTTATTAAGATCCTTATTAATTAAAGTTTTTCAATGAAATTATGATGGGTATGATGGCACTTGATTATGACTGTTTTGACACCTGAAGAAATTGTTTTGATTAAAAGATAAATGAAATACCCACCAAAAACATTGACATATTTTGTATATTACCCCGAGCTAAAATGAATGAACAAAACCACATAGGAGAAAAATACCCTCTATGTCCTTACGACACAAGTCAAACAATCCATATTGTCACCATTTGGACGAAACAGAGGGAGCAAACATGCAGGAGAACAATGTCAGGAATAAAACCCACTTTTCTAGTTGAATTTTATAATCACTACAAGAACTTTACAATACATAATCACAAAATGCTTGGCTTTCATCCGAGGTACTGGACAAAATAGTACCAGTCCTCTGTTAAATATTATCTCCGCTATTCTAGGTAGGCAATGTTGAGTACGACACAAGCTAAGGACCACAGATACACAACGAACATGCCCCGCTAGTGACAACAAACACCTCTATAACAAACCTCTTTCGTGGCAGGATGTCAGAACCGGGAAAAACTCGACAACATCTAGCAAATTTGAGTCACCTTTCTCAATTGGTTCAATAGCAGTGACAAACAACATCTAAAACAGGTGAGAAGGGAGCAATGGTTGTGTACAACGTACTGTATAGTTGTTTTAATTTTGCGGGGCTAATATTTTAAAGTTGTCCCGATAGGAACTAGTTTGCTTGGATTTAATTTTGCACAACATTGCCAGGTAAAACTATCGCAATCCAAAGCGTACTTTTGTATTTGGCTAATGGGATTTAATTTGCAAGTGTTATATCAAAACAAAGTAAAATATAAAATTAAATTGTTGTTTTATCGTCATTATTCGGCAGTAAAGGGGTAAACAGATTTTTTTTTATTTCTATACATTCTGTATACTCATGGTATTAATTTTTGCTTGGTATTTAATTTTGTGCTCTCTTCAATTTGTTGGCCTTGAAGAGAGTCGATTCCCCCGCAGAAATTACCAACTATACAGACTCACACAAACAGTATAGCATACATCTATATGAGAACATCTGATTCACCAGTCATTCTGAAGTAACACTGTAACCATGATAACAGAAATATACAATGTCATACACTTTCTTCAAACTGTCACTGTCCAACGTCATACACTAGTATATACATTTTAACATTCCAACCTTTCACATAGCGTTTCATACAATAACTCAAACAATGTTGAACAATGTTGCATGCCATTATTCATACTGACTTTCCACACACTATAACTGTGTTTCATACATTAATTGAACAATTTTGCATACATAAAATGATAAATTAATTTGGTTTTCCGTATCATAGTTCTTCCTTGAGGTCGTCCAACTCAACATCACTCAGATCGATCTCTTCTTCCTCGTACATCTAAAACAACAAAACAAAAACAAATAATTACAATTAGAAATCTTTCAGATTTAGATGGGAGTAACCCAATTGTTCCAGATTCATTTCAGGGCTGGACTGGGTAACCGAGTACCTAGTTGAGGTTTGGTTACTAGTACTATCCGGTTAGCAAACCTAGGCCCCTTTCATGTATCCAGTTCAACCGGTTTGTCTGTTTTTAAATGTAACATTTTCGGGTATAAAACCTGAAGGACCTGCAAATGTTTATGCAGGCTTTGCAAGATTTTGTCAAGGCTCACCTGGAAGCAGCATCAAATTGCTAAGTCCAACCTTATTGCATAAAAGAACAACTCTGGTCCAACTGGTTCAACCATTTGGACCGTGATAAACGAAAACGGCCCAATCTTTGGGCAATTCTGACTTAATGATGTTAAAGGAAGGGAGACAACCCTAACACAAATCACGGGTATAATGTACAAGGTAGTACATTTCCTTAACTCTTAACACAATGATAAATATCAAGTCACTCTTGATTCAAGCTTTCGGTACAGTATTAGCTTTCCATCAGCATCCTCGACATCCAGGGGTTACACTCACTTCCGCTCTCTACACCCCTGAAATATGTCATTGCAAAATCAAAGGCTCGATGTGCAGTACCTTGTGGATGAGACGAGAAGACTAGCTTGACTAGCTTGATCCTTTGATGTACATCAAATGAATCTTCCGGTCGCGTAACAGTTAAGTTGACTGGCTTTAGAGTCGGGTGTCGCTTCTCTGTAATCGTCGCAGGTCAGGTATCAGCCTAGCGGTTGGTCAGGTGTTTTTTTTACCTGATACTAATCAAAGAGCTTGCTGGGTGCCTTCAATTTTGCTATGACATATATTCCAGGGGTGCAGAGAGCGAAAGTATGCATACCCTGGCTGGAGTATCGGGGATGGGACTGAATGGTGCTCACCCTTATTCGATTTTCAAATCCATATTTGAAAAATTGATGAAGGGCTTTGCCCAAAAGTTTGGATCAAAAGTTACTGTTGATCTTTATCTTACAACTAAATCATATAATGTGTAAGGTGGTATATTACTTATTACCTTAACTCTAATGCAACTAACAATATAACATGTTCAGTAGCCTATGAGGGAAAAATCTTATAGGCAATCTGACAACAACAGAAGCTGCATAACGGGTTATTTACGGGTGCTGAAATTTTCGCAATTTTGACTCAAAATTAGAAAATAAAACTTCGAGATATAGGCATCTAAAGGAACTAGATGTTTCCAGTGTTTTAGCACAGAGACGGAACACTCGACTTACAAAGTGTCAAATAGTCAAATTAATAGGCTTTATGACAGTATAATGAGCAAAAACAAACTAAGTTTATTTTATTAAATAAATCATCAACAAAACTATTAGATGTGTGCTAGTGGTAGCAGAATGTATGACGCCTTAACCACTTAGACACCGCAGCCCTTTTTTCTACAGACAGGTAGTTTTCAGGCAGGTTATAGTCAAGTAGGCCTAATTTATTTACCTGGCCATCTTTTCCGTCCCAGGGTTCCATGGTCTGTACCTTGGGCAGCGCATTATCTCTCATTGGCACGGAGGATCCTTTACCGTATGACAGGTCCCTAAATAAATTGGACATATTGAAATTGATGAAATTTAACCATTTGATATTTACTACATATTTTAGCATTAAAATTCACCTTATTTCATCATTCATTTTTTACTTAATATTTTATCATCAAATTTTCTACAAATTTTAAAATTAAATATTAATAACATTTTTCATCATTAACCATTCACTGAATATTCCATTATTAAACGTTTTCTACAAATTTTACCATTAAATATTTACCATATTTCATATTAATTTTTTACTTCATATTTCATTATTAAATTTTCTACAAGTGTTACCATTAAATATATATTGTATTTTATCATTAAATATTATGATATTTTATCATTAATTTTCACTAGTTCATATTCTATCATTAAATTTACAACAAACTTTACCATTAAACATTTACTGCATATTTTACATGTAAGCTGTTGTTCAAATTTACTTTCGATTAATACTGGGTTGTTTTTTAAAAGACAATTCGCATCAAGACTTTTACATTGAAAAGTAAAACCAACTTAAGGATCCCTGTCACACTGGCACTGTGTTTTTTTGGTTCTCTTTTGCTAAGAGCTTCAGCATAGGAATCTAGGGACATGGGTTTGAATCCCGGTCTAGCCTAGCTGTTTGTTACACTCAGAACACTGTTGATGATTGTATTTTGGGGGTTTTCCCATCTTTATTGGTTTTCATTAAAGTCTCGCAAGGTGTGGTTTTCTTTTCAGAGAAGATTTATCAAAGCGATACTCATGCCAGAAAAACAGTTTCCAATGCGTAGTTAAGTTTATTTTAGTGGTACAGTGATCCGTTAAGAATTAATTTTCACCCTTTTTACCCAGCTCATAGCTTGATTAACTCATTCACCCCTTAAGACACATTTGAACTCTTCCAATTCAAAGGATGGAATAGTTCATTATGAAATTTTAGGGGGGAATGAGTAATAACATGTATCACATAAATCTAATCCTCATACTTTTCGTATGTAAACCAATATAAATATATTAAAAAAAAACCTGAATATCTGGTTAATTACGGAATAATGATTAAAGCGATCATAAAATAAGGTAGCCTTACCGCAGAAATTCGTTGATGCCATTCTCACTGAAAGGTCCCTTCAGAATAACATACAGGTTCTTCCTCGAATTGAGAGCTACCATTGCCTAAAGATGAAATTTAATACGTCGTTAATGTATTTTCACGTTCTTCAGCCTCAGTTCCATGTTCAGGGTTACATCACTGAACACAAACTGTACAAGCAGACATTTTCCAATATTTTCCTACATTGTACCAATCTCCCTCAAAACTCTCTCATTCGAGTCCAAACTAATACAAACTCAAAATCTACATCCTGTGGTCAAATGATCTCCTAGTTACTGTAGGTTGTGTGTAATGATCATAGCAGGTGTGTCGGAATCAAATGAATGTTTTTTGGAGTTATTTTAATGCATAAAAAGGTAAAGATAAATTAGGTAAAGTAGTTTCAGTTGCGTTTCATGCACTTTCTCCTTCATTAGAAATGTGGAAACAGGGAGATCTCCCTCATTGGAGGTTTCAGAGGTTGAGGCCTATGCAGTATATTCAAACATCTAGCAGCTCTTGTGTTTACTCACCGGATAACCAAATCCTCCCATACCCAGGGCTTTCTCAATCTCAGGCTGTGCTGCTGCCTCGGCCCAAACCCATCTGAAACACAATATTTCATTGATTAGTGGATGATACACTTTGAAAATGGGAAATAATCACATAACACAATATTTCATTGGCTAATGGCTGATCAATACACTTTGAAAACGGGAAATAATCTTGAAAAACAATGTTTCATTAACTTCAGTGAGTAATACACTTTGAAAATGGCAAATAATCTTGAAATACAATATTTCAAATTCATTGGCTGGTGTCTAAGTTTCAACATGGTACTTAACAGTTTGATTGTCTTTTAGGGGGTTGCAATATTTCAATATTTCATAAATATTGCAATATTTCATAAATATTGCAATATTTCATAAATATTCATAAATATTGCAATATTTCATAAATATTCATAAATATTGCAATATATTTCAGTATGGAAATTGATTACAAATATCCACCCCTTGTGAAATGTTGTGATTATCCTACAACAATAGAGTATATTTCTGTTCTTACCCCCACTGGTTTTTCTTGAACTTTTCACCGAGACGTTTTAGGGTTGAAATGTAGTTGTTCCTACAGTCGGCCTGACAGTCGAGGATGTGCGGTAGGACGGCAAAAACACATATCTGTTGTTTCTGGCAATTTTGTTTCATTACATCCTCGGACGTCAGCTAAACAACGACGAATGGTCAGTGCATCAGAATTAATTTTACTGTGATTACCTAAACAATTCCTATATATATATCACATGCAGTCAGTTGTCATATAGATCTGCATTTCTTTAACTCATTCACCCCTGAAATTTCATAATGAACTTTTCCAACCTTTGAATTGGAAGAGTTCAAATGTGTCTTCAGGGGTCAATGAGTTAATATGAACAAATATTGTTGAATTCTACCTACAAATTTTCAAACATTACAAATGTCTTGATGTCACACCAGTTTTTTGTATTTAAAGATTATTTTTAACATCAAATTATGATAAGTAAAATTTCTGAAAAAATAATAATGTAACAAACAGCATTTATGCTAATGAATGGTCCTTATAGTAATATATCCTGTAAAACTGACTTTATTGACACAACAGATATTTTGTAAAATTTGACGTTATTCTATTAACCCAAGAGTGTTCAGCTTTGCATCCTATTAACGGCTATGGTCATTTAAGGACGAGCAAGGTTTTGGTGGTGGAGGAAAACGAAATCACCTGGAGTAAAATCACCGACCTGCAGCCAGTTTCTGGCGACTAACCTTGCGTAGGCCTCGACCCCACAACCGGGTGGTGGAGGGCTAATGATCATAAATGGTTATATAGACAACGCAACCACTAGGCAACTGCAGCCTGTTCAACATGACTTAACGGACATAATGTCATACTGAACTAAATTATTTAATCTCTTTCAATGTTGGTAAAAACGTTTTTTAATGTAACAGAGTATGGATTAAAAAAGGTTGAATATAGGAGATTCCACCCCTGCAAACACATTTGAACTCTTCCAATTCAAGGGTTGGAATAGTTCATTATAAAACTTCAGTGTTGCATGAGTAAATACCTGGTAGACTTCTGGGGGAGGAATGTTAGCAGCAGCTTTGTCTGTTGCCCAGGCAACAATATCCGAGGCTGTTCGTCCGCCATCATACTCTCTAACTTCGCCTTTCTGGAACATCTTGATGGTTGGGTAGCCACGAACCTATAACACAGAAGTTTTTTCCATTATTAATATTTGGATCTCCATTGAGAGGTAATGCAACAGACTAACAGGTAAACATTATCTCTGAATTATAACTTTTTAACAATTAAAACATATACACAAAAAAACAAAAACAAAATATATATTTTTTAATTTTAAAACTCAAAATTCATGAAAAGATGAAATGTGCTAAAAAATCATATTAACAAATTCAGGATTTGCAATATATAAAATCCCTCCCAAGAAAGAAGGATCCTTACCCCATATATGACCAATAATTATCCTTACCCCATATCTGATAATGAAGGATCCTTATCCCATATCTGATCATTAAGGATCTTTACCCCATATCTGACCATTAAGGATCTTTACCCCATATCTGACCATTAAGGATCCTTACCTCGTATCTGCTAGCATACACAGTGTGTACAGTAGCATCAACTGCTCCAAACTTGACCTTGCCCTTCATCTGTGAGGCAGCGGACTGCCATTCTGGTGCAAGGTTCTTACAGTGACCGCACCATGGTGCAAAAAACTCCACAAGCCACAAATCATCACTTTCCAACACCAACTCTTGGAAGTTTCCGTCGGTCAGCTCAATCACATCCTTGGGATCTCCGGACTAGAATAAAAATAAAAGCGGGTTTTTTTCTCTATAAAATACATGATTAATGGAATGTATGAAGATTAAGTGCACAGGAAAATTAGCCATCCAGCTGTCCTGGACAAGTGAAAAGGGTTTTTTTTTTTTTATTATTATTTTAAATTTTATACTGCACACATACTAAAACATACTTGCATGTGTATGCCTTCGATTTTTGTTAAGAGTATATTCCTTTTAATAAACCTTTTTGATGAGCATCTATTATCGATTACAGACTTGCCCATCACTAGGTACGAGGATCCTTAAGTGATCAAGCCACACATGAGGGATTCACAAGGCGTTATCGTTACAGACGTACCTTTGATCCACCGCCACTACCGCCGCTGCCTCCTCCACGGCCACTCATGCGGTCATTTACCATGGCCTTGACCTTGGACATGGCGGCATTAACAATGGCGTCAGCTGTGCGCCCACCTTGATAGTCCTCTGGCTTGTTTTTGTTGACTCCAAATACTTTAATGGTGGGGAATCCCTGGACACTAAACCTCCCCCCGAGCTGTCCATGGGCATCGGCATCTACAGCAGCTATCTTCACCACACCCTGGTAAGGACAGATGATAATGATTAAGATCACAGAAATGGGCTGCATTGGTTGAATTATCCTCAATACTCTAGGGGTTACGCTATGCTCTCTGCACCCCTGGAGTATATCATAGCTTGTGATTTTGTTCCCTCACTTTTGATGCCGACTACAGGCTGTTTTCCCTATAGCTAAAAAGTGCATTGTTTCCCAAAAATGACCAAACACTGAGGAACATATTCCCAAATTCAATACAAATAATGCTATATTTCATAAAGGAACAGGCTGTTATAAGATTTAGGTAACAAAAACACTGATAGCAAAATCAAAGGCTCAGTGTGCGCCACCTTGTAGATGAGACAAGACTTGCTTGATCCTTTGATTGTACACCAAACAAATATTGCGCTCATGCAACAGTAAAATTGACTGGCTTTGAAGTCCATCGCTGCTCCTCTGTAATCTTCAAAATGACAGGCACCAGCCTAGCGACTAGTCAGATTTTATTTACCCGAAACCAATGAAATAGTAATCTGTGTGCCTTTAAATTTGCTTTGACAAATTCCAGGGGTGCAGAGAGCAATAAGAGTGAGCGTAACCCCTGGAGTATCGAGGAGGCAGGGATAATTCTGGAGCGGGCCATATGGGGTCATTGACCTTTCAAAACTGAAAAAGACCCTTTTATCTTCCAACTTTCTTTTGATTTTTCATAGAATGGCCCCTCTTAAGTATGATATTGACTAAAAATTGCTGAAATGGCCCACTGCTCTCAAATTTAGTATTTTTATTTTTTTTAATTAGTCAACGAAAAAAAAAAGATAAAAGAAACCCCAACTGACCTGCCCAATTTTTTCAGTCATATGTTACCTGAAAGTTTCAAACCTACAATTTTTTTTCCATAACCAACCACCACTCCTTGGGGAACACCTATAAATAAATTCATTTATTTTACAACAAATTTGAAACAAGTTATTTTCAACTATTATTAATCAGTCTTGTTGGCCCGAATGTTAGCTTGCATGAGTTTCTTAATGTGGGAGGAAACCAGAGTTTGTAACCCGGTAAACCTCTATACAACACTGATGAGAGTTACATACCTTAAGTGCCTTAGCGGCCTTCTTCCATTCTGGAGCCAGACTTTTACAGTGTCCGCACCTGTAAACAGTAGACAAGTTTTAAACTGTTTGCACCAATCACGACTTATAAAACTTAATTTATTTAAGATGCTCAAAATATTTCCTGGAATTCTCAGCAAAAATTAACATTCAATTTTATAAGGTTACTACCTATATAGTTTCTGTATATTCAGGAATTATCAAAACTTCTCATATAAATTAACAATATTGATAATATCATACTTGCCAACTTTTTGAAATTTCCATGGGGGAGATTTTACATTCTCAAAATTAAAACATAAATGAAATGTGTGTATATACCCCCTAGAGACAAAATAACATGTTTTGAGTTGTTCTCTCAGATGAAATCATTAGATTTTATAATTTATGAATAGTTTAGCAAATTCATTGGTTGAAAATACTAAATGTAAGGGTCCAAACTTGGGAGTCTCCCTCCTAAATGGGGAGAGTTGGCAAGTATGTAATATTGCACAAATTATGGCCAATACGTTAATGATAAACGTACCAGGGAGCGTAAAATTCGATGATCCATAACTCGTCGCTGTTCATCACTTCCTTGTCAAAGTTTGCTGGTGTCAGCTGTACAACACCGTCACCAGATGAGTACAAGGCTGCTGCTTTTGACAGCAAGCCTGCCATGATGAGCACTGAAAAGAATAAAAAAGTTCATTACAACATTTGAAGATTGGTGACAGGAGCAGGTGGTTCTGAATACTTATAGGGCTAATCATTGTATCTAAATTTACATATTTAGAAATTAAAACTTTAATCAAATTTAACTTTATAGCTATGACATACATGTACTTGCCATCCTCTGCTGTCATCTCAATACGGTTTGAACAAATTCTGACAAGAGCATGGACATTTGAATAACATTAATCATTAATAGTTGAGGTGAAAAGTCAATTTTACATATAATCCCAATTAGATTAATTATAGTGTTAACAACATTCATTTGATAATTGATTATCATAAAGTATATTCAGTATATATATAACTATAACTATTAACATATATATCTCGTATCTGGCAAGGAATACTTGATAATACTCATCAAAATCTTATCATAACTGCAGGCTTCACAATTCTGATCGTTAACAAAATTCGAAGTCTTCTTTTTTTTGCGATCATCATGTTCAATGATTTGTGAAAGTTTGAAAGCAGGTTAAGTTGCATGTATAAAACAGTTGCATTTATTGCAAAATGGTTATATGGCAATTTAAAACCTCGATGTACACATTTTTTTATGATGGACGAAAAACAGCCATCTGTGGACAGGTGGAGATGACAGCTCTAGCAAAGACCCAGTTTCGTTTTGTCAGCTACACACCGTTTAGGGAATAGTTATAGCACAAAAGCGAATTATACTGATACAGCAACACCACAATACTTACCAAGCACTTGCATCTTTATTTTTATTCGTTTTTCACCGATAAAATTCGCCTTCTGTTCCGTTTCTAGTTCGTCTAGTTATGTTACCGGTGCCTTCTCCACGTTTTGTGTTGACCCGAACATCAAAGCGTGGCTCGTTTTCATTGGTTCAAATTTATTGTTACGTGTTGCCATCTCGGGGTTTTCCTACGGGAGATAACTCTGATGTATACACACCCTCGTTTTGATGCGGAAGCTGAGGGGGCGTGTACACTTATATTAGCAGTAGTCTATTTTAACCTGGGTGGCTACGTTTTGGCCACATGCACTGACTCTGTTGACCTTTTTTTCTCTCAGTCGGTTTGCTTTATATATATATAATCTATATGTATTATAGCAACCTATAGAAAAATTACAACGACGTGTCACGTTACATTGAACGTACGTTGTATACTTTTTTTACATAACTAGAAAACTGTAAGCTGGATAATACTATAGTTGTGTTTCGAATTTATCAAAATTGAATGGGAAAAAACCCACTAGAATCACGGACTTAGATAGCTAATCTAATTCCATGCTAGATAACTATGGAAAGTCACTGTATGGTCATCAGAGTAGTATTAGACGTTTAGAAACAGCGATGTAGATAAATTAGGTACATGAAAGTTATACAGATAAATCACCAGGCACCAATTTGATTTGAACATGTGACAGTTTTGCTGGTCGTAGGTTTTTTTTCTAAGCATTATATATATACATATTACAGACATATCTCAAAATAGTAAAGGTACGTTAAGTTGAAAACCATCCTGACCATAATTCGCCCGGATTCAAGCAGTTTTGTCAAAGTCGTTGCTCTACAGATTTACCCATAATATTTCATTGTCACTTGTCTTAAATTTCTTGATATATTGGTAACGTTGGTGTAGGGAAAGGCATGATCGAATGACTCACTTTTCAAATTTTACCCGCTAATCATACTTTCGAATATTTAGATTTCGAATGCTAGCTTTTGAAAATATTCTTTTATATGTTATATTAGCATTGTATGTATATTTGACTATGATAGTGCTTTAACCGTATCCGTTAGTAACACGTGTGTGACATGCAAGCGTCCATTATAAATTTCTGTTTTAGGACTACTAAGTTTGAAATCACCAAGTCTCTGTGGTGATGCTATAGTATTTACTATTTATTATCTAGAAAGGACATATAGTTAGCTATTCTGTACGTGTGTACTTATCTTGCACAGATTCTGTGTTGTTTTATAATTGTTGTAACTTTGTTGTAAATAGTGTACATTTTATCATGCTTGACCATATGTAAGACGAGTCTTCGACCCAATATATCATCAAGTTGAAATAAAGACTATTATTATCATTAGATTGCGTATATAGATATATTCCGCAATATATAAAAGAGTAATATTGTACAATGCAATGATATACAATTTTACCTGTGAAATATAACGTTTCACAGCGAAATCATTTTTTTCTTTGTCAAATAACACTTTATTTTAATTTCACGCTAAGTCAACCAATCAGAGTTTAGTGTAATTGAATAACAATTGAATTGTGGTTCGCGTAACAATAAACAATTAAAAGTTTATATAAGCTTTGATTCGCGTAACATTAAACAGTTCAAAATGTATATATGTTTTTAGCATTATAGAAATCTACTAAACAAAACTAAATATTAGATTTTGAATATTTGAGTGATTTAACTGGTTCTAAAACATTTCCAAATATTGAAGACGTTACTTGAATGGTATGTGTTACACTAACTGCTACATCCAAACAACTAAAAATATTTGTGTTTCTAGCAACGCCGACTTCCACTAGGTCTATTTTTTGTGGTAACCCTAATCTTTTTAGTCAATTTTCATAGAAGCACTGTTCAAGTCAAGATCATACTCCTATATAGACCATTTTAAAACCTTTGAGTTTTTTTCTAATGTTTTTTTACCTTCCCTAAATACTTAAACATGTTACAGGAAACACATGCGCAGTGGGAAGGCTGTATTTAGAGAGAATCGTTTGACTATCATTGTTCGCCTAACCTAGTCTTCTTTTCCTATCTAGCATTGATATATGTACTTTAAAGAAATATGTATATTAAAAAAGACTGATTAAAAATCATGTATTGAAATAGTGATGATAGTGACCTTCTTAGATCTTACATTTCTATCCTATAATACATATGTCCAACAGAAACTATTTGGTTTTATTACCGTCCTAGGCTATTGACAGCTAATTAAGGTATTAAGGACCTGCCTCCATGTGTGTTTTGTATATGCGTGCATATTTTATGAATGCTGAAGGCCGTATATTGGTGTGCTTCCTTGCGATAGAGGGGTTCTGATGCCCACTTTAGAGTGCTATTTCAATCCGCCTGGTCACATTGTATACTGACGGGTGAACGAGTTGTTGCCATTACACTATATAAATGCTCGTTAATTAGCCAGGGAATAACAAGTACCATTTTAAGGACTTAAGTATTGCGGGGAGGAGGGGGTGCAGAATCCATTATTTTCCTCACTAAGGCCAACGTTCAACACCAAGGTAAAAAAAAAAGAAGTAGAGTGAAAATAAACCCCACCCAAGTACATACATATGACACAAAAGCAAATCTCCAATTCTTTAGAGGTACCAAATGTAGCTGCCTCCTATAAGATGCAGTACTAAACAGCAGATATGTTCTTTTAGCAATTCCTGACTTGCAGAGTTGTATTGAATTGAACATTAAATATGTACCAAACACAGTTGTCACTATGAATGACGACATTCAGTTACACTTTAGAATGAGCAACGACAACCGAGGTCCAAATTAACAGAATCCTTTGTGAGAAGAAATTTGAAAATTTGAAGTTTTTGTAAAATTATAGGATTTTTTTAGTATTAGCTGGTATATTACCATTTGTTTTACTTAATAAAACTTGAAATTGTGACATTTCAGACTAAATATTTGGTTGTTAAATTGGATTATTTTGAAATTTGAAGATATATCTGAAAAATTTGTTACTTATTTGAATTTGTCTTTTTCTACCTTAGGAATGGGATGGGTTAAATGCTGAAATTGGAGAGAGAAAAAATCAATATTTTTCCTAAATACCGGTACTCTTTTCCCCCACCTAAAACATCAGAATACAAGTCATCAAAAGTTACAACATAATTTTCTGAGGTGTATTTGGAAATTAGAATTATTTAAAAGTCTGCGTATTTTGTATCCATTACAAAACCTTCTATAATGAAATCATTACCAAACTAAGACGTCACGTCCCGAAAGCATTTTTTTTCAATCTTTTCACCTGTAAGTGAGGAATTAATTTAATCATATACTTTGTCAAGTCAAAGATAAGGGGAAAATGTAAATATTCCTCAAGTGAACTACTAGTATTTGAATCTATATATGGTATTATCCTTTTAATGCAACTGATAATATACTGAGAAGTTTGAAAACTTATTTCAACCAAGTCCATATCTCAACCTGGTAAAGAACATATAAGACTCTATAATTTATACTCAGGGGTGTAGTATAGGGAATCCACTCTAGGGTTTTCAAATTGACCAAAACCAAAGGCTTTCCAGTGGTTATTCAAAACCTCAAGTGTGGAACTCCCCTAGCCTATAGCCCATGGACATGGAAGAGTATTTTTCTCTCGCTCCAAAAAGAGCGTCGCAATTTCTGCATCGCTGCATCAGAATTAAGCTGATCTTTTAGTCCACTTCCATCAATCATATTGCATCAGATTATCCACGTGACGTCATTGTGTCCCCATTGTGACGTCACATGAAAAGGTGTGTAAGATAAATACGCAAAGGAATGAGAGAAAGTATTTTCTACCACAATACGCTGTGTTATTCCACTCTCAGATCATTGTATAAACACGCAGACTGTTAGATAAATATGAGTTATATACCACACGTGGTATATGACCTACACGATTTCTGATTGGTCGACAAGATGAACTTTGACCGGGACGACTTTTTCCACGCGCTTTTTGCCACAATCTGTTTTGTTTACGTCGTCTGCTGTCAACATTCGACAAATGTTGGTGACTTTGTGAGGTTATGCGGAAAATGAGGTTATTAAGGCAATATTAAAAGAAGATGATACTTAAAGATTTGATCGCTAGTTTCAGGCAAAATTGCTACAGACGCTCAATATCGTTTCGACGTCACACCGTCGCGCGTCCAGGTCGTGAAACCAAAACAAGATCTGTCAGAGTGTCGGAAAATATTTCGTTCTCCCGACGTCCCGTTATCGCGATTTGGACGGTCTGACTATGGCTGAACTGTCACTATAAACGTCAACCATAGAACCGTCACGAAGAAACGTAGGCCTATGTTTTTGGACATTAACAGCGAAAAGTTCGTCTTCGTCACTTGGCGGGAGGCAGACTTTGTACGATATGCTTACGCGCATATAGTCCGTGGTTTATTTATATAAATTAATGCAATACTGCTACTCCCAATATTTAAAGTCGTTTATCTATTATATTTTTTCATGAAGTCGTTGCCGAAACATTAATTTAGACAATTATTAGATTTGTAAAAAGAAAAGCCATTTTTGAATATTAATGAGTGACTTTTTACATATGGGTCATATCACTTCGCCAGCCTTGTCAACAAACACATGTGCGTATGTTATTTCTGACTGATCATGAGATTGTGGTAGAAACAGATCACACGACTCGTGGTTGTGGAGTATGATATTTATTTCACTCTCGTTAGTTAATTTTCAAAAGTTACAGAAAGACACTCGCTAAAGCTCGTGTCTTATGTAACTTTTGAAAATTAACTAACTCGAGTGAAATAAATACCATATTCAACAACCACTCGTTGTGTAACCTCTATTTACTCAACTTTAAGTTGTGGTTATCTCCCCTTCTCCATGGATATATTGACATTGCAACAATCTGATATAATCAGTGAATCTGTTACTAGTCAAAATGTGACAGAAAAATTCAAATTTATCAAGAGCAATACAAACCCACGTACACCATTGTCAAATTATTATGTATTTATAAACGTAGATGAAATCTCATTCGTTTGAGGAAGCTGTTTAAATATCACTTATACAAATAAAACTATTTATCAAAATGAAATAACTATTTTGCGTATGACGTCATCAAAATATATTCTCTTTTATTTTGGT